AACAACTCGATTTGGATATTAATAATATAGTCGGTCAATGTTTTGACGGGGCAAGTGCAATGCGTGGCATATATAAAGGTGTATCAACTCGTTTATTACAAATTGTACCTACTGCCTTATATGTCCATTGCAATGGACACATTTTAAATTTATGTTTAGTTGACTTATCACAAGCAGTGGTACCTATTAGAAATAATTTTGGTATTACGAGTCACACTGAATGGACATCCGAGATAAAAAAAAAAGGAAACGAATCCTGCTAGAACTGAATTTTTTCGGTCTAAAAAAATGAACAGCACATACGCATGTGAAGGATTTAAATGTGTTTAGGGATCTCGATGCTGATTGGAGCCTTTCTGCCGTTTCGCAATCATCATTTGGGGAAATGCTGGACCTACATTTTTTTAAACTATGTTTTCAAACAAGGTATCTGAGAGAATTCTGTAGCGTACTATACACATGAATCACATATATAAAATATAAATTAATCGATCGATAGAAAAAAAGTATAATGCATCAAAACGATTTGAATGGAAAAGTCTTTAATGTAGACCTTCAAAGAGGCAGATCGAGTTAGTCCGAGTTTAAGTCGATCATTCTTCAAAAGAATGATATCAGGTTGTATTAATTCAATTTTCATATCGACGTTTTTTCCGAATTTATCCTTATTACATCACTTTACAATTTTATTGAAGTATCAGCAAAAAGACATAAAGTCTTTGAAGACATTCAAAAAGAGGCAGGTTTGGTGTCAATTTCATTAAAAGCATTGTGTGATACTCGTTGGTCGTGCCGCTTTGAATCCTTAAAAGTGATATCAAGGCGTTATACTGAAATTGTAGCTACCTTACAAGAAATTCAAGTTGGTGATGCATTTATACTATTAAAAGTTATACAAACATTTGATTTTATTTTTCACATTCATTTAATGAGTGAAGTTTTTCTTATTACAAACATATTATCTAAGTTTTTACAAAAATCCGGTGTTTCTTTGACAGAAGCTATGGCTCAAGTGAAAATGACTATTTGTTCACTTGAGTCAATGAGAAACGACGATGAATTTAATCGAATTTGGAATGAAACTATGAATATTTGTGCAGCGAATGATATTGATGAACCTGCTGAACAACGAAGGAGAAAAATTCCTGCACGCTTAGGTGGTGGTGATATTTTATCAACAACATTATCTGCTAAAGATAACTATCGTATTAATTCTTTTTATGCTGTATTAAATCTAATTATTACATCAATTAAAGAAAGATTTAATGAAAATAGTTTAAGTATTATGCTATTATGTGAAAAACTATTTTTAACAAATGTATTTTTAAATGATCTTGAAGCACAACAAATTGCTCAATTCTATAATATGAACTACGATGAATTAAGAAGTGAACAACGTTTTTACAAGGTAGCACTTGGTCAAAAGAAACAAATGAACTTAACATCAGCAACGAAGTTTTTCGTAGAAAATAATTTTCATCAATCACTTAATACAATGAACAATTTGTTAAAAATATTATGGACAATTCCAGCTAATACATGCGAATGTGAAAGAAGTTTTTCTTCGTTAAGACGACTTAAAACATACATTCGCAATACAACAGGTCAAGAACGATTATCTAGTTTAGCATTAATAAATATCGAACGTAGTTTTGACATTGACTTAGATCTTATTGTAACTGAATTTGTATCAAAAAATAAGGAGAGAAAAAAAATATTTTGATAATAAATAAATTTCTTGCAAATTATGACATGGAATAAGTTTTATTTCCATTACTATTAGTTTG